TTGGGTCTACATCCACAATATTTCTTTGTAAATTAATCATTCGTATAGTTATCGACGGCTCTTCATAATAAATCGCATAAATTATTAACCACAACCCGAAATTGATTAATCATTTATTATAACAATTATTAATATACATAATGTAAATATAAGAACTTAAGTTAAGCTCCCTAGTTAAAAATTAGTCATCTAACAAACTGTATTTTGTAATAATACGTACTATCACAGCAGTTAATAATGACAAAATGATAATATGACAACCATTTGATCGAGCCTGCCTGTCCTATTATTATATGTAAATCCAACAAATTATGTCCCATTTCATGGCTTAACAACTTCGTCCAGTTACAGATTTTGAATAAAATATAGTAGATTCGTAAGGCTGAATTTAAGATTGATTTTGGTGCTTGACCAAGCAGATGATTGATCATATAAAATAATATTACATTAAGCCAAACCGCTTTTTATTCAACATTTATGAATGATATTTAAAAACAAAACGTTGACAAGTTCACGATCTTTGATACAATAATGAAAGCTTATGTTGTATACCTGATAACATTTGAAATTATGATTATTTATAGTTGGAGTTAATGTAGAGTTGGGCGATATTAAGATATTATTGAGAAAAAAAACGGTATGAGATATGGCATTTTCCTATACCGGTATACCGATCTTTGTTGATACCAGGTGTAAAAAGACTAATCGCAGCTTACTTGTTCAGTATATTATGATACTCAAATTTTCAAATGTGTCTCTCCCAATAGATACAGCATTGTACTTTTGAATTATAAGACAAAAAAGTAGCAGTGGGTATATATTCCTGCAGTTTTTGTGAATTAGAAGTCTTACTCCGAAACAAGATATTACTTTCTGCTTTTATTTTCTCAAAGTAAGTTTACAGATCGTAAATGCATACAGTTATTTCTATCGATTACTGAGAATTTTTTAAGTGGATGCAAATTTACTAAAATAGTGCACAAACGGAAAAAGAGCGTGACACTATTCGTGGAGAAATTTTCAGAATATGGAAGGATACGCATTTATGATACGATGATAAAATTATTTGATTTAAAAGCTTATTTTCCCAGATAAAATATAATGGTTGGTGATATGGTAATAGGTGAAATAACCTTTTCTATACTATGATAGCTTAAAGCTGTTGCATTATTTTTCAGAGAGAAGAATAAACTAAAGTAACAGTATTGTTACCTATATCGGTACCTAATCTAATGATACTAACCGAGTCAGTAGTTGGCACACTATTGTTTTGAGAATAGCCGAAGAGAACAAACTCGGCTTGTAAAGTTAGTGGCTACAATACTTTACGTTGAAGCAATCTAGCCAAATTCAGTACGTGGCACTACTGTCTTAAGTAAGAATTGCCATTCGGTGGATTCGGCGGTCCTCTGCCTTAGGAATATCCGGTACAAAAACAAAAAAGTACATGTAACTATGAACAAAACAAACTTGTAACTATAAACCTAACGACCTTGTACCTAGAATCCAAACGATCTTGAATGAAAATAGAATAGAAACACTCTAGAGAACTAACTTATTACTACAATCTTAACTATTTACCTAGCATTACCAAACATTTAACGTAAGCTAATATCATATGCCCGATATTAATATCTCTTTACAATTTGCAACTGCTTACAATACTTGATACTTTTTAAAGACCTCATTCATCCGCATTTCATTAGATTATAGAAGGAACAGTTTTAATTTCAACCATAAGATATATAACAATGGGGCGTAAAAGAAAGTACCACTACACCAACATAGCCAACCTTAAAAATCATAAAGTTGAAAAAATAAATGAAAAGGACACCAGAAAAAGCGTGTATCGACCAGTTCTAAGCAAATACAGTCAAAAAAATCTGATGTAAATGCATACAGTTGTAACCAAATCGAAAATGAAGATATTGAATTTAAAGATGCACAAATGTGTATATCTGGTTCCTATAACCAAGGAAATATAAAAAAATATTCCAATGACGATGGCAAACAATGTGTGACTAATTCTTTAAGGGCCCTTGTTTATACCAAAATAATCAATATTAGATCATGGACAAGTGCTACATTAAATAGAATATTAGATTTAGGGAATGAGTGTTATAGGCATATCCAAACTTTACCACATATCCAACACGAGTACCTACTTGTTACCAAACTGCTGAAAACTGTAAAAATTGAAGGAAGATGTTTTGAGGTAGATATCGACGGTTATTCTCAAGCTGGATTATTAATACAATCAAGCGATAATTTCGATCTTTCTTTATATGAAGCTCTGTGTGAATGTTTAGCAATCTTTGAAGCATGCTTTATAACATTTAAAAACAATACATTTGTTATAATAAAGCAAGATGATAAATATTTGGTATTTGATGCTCATGCAAGGGACAATCACGGAATGGTAAATGAATTTGGAACTAGTATATTGATTGAATATTGTGATATAATGGATGTTTATATGCATTGTTTACATCTTAGCCAATCTATGATGTGTAGTGATCAAGAACAATATGAAATAACAGGAATTAATGTTCATAACTTAATAAAATTGGAAAATAATACAAATAAGATTCAGCCGAGAATTCTTGAAATTAACTCTGATGATGTAAACTCTAATTTAATTAGAGATGAAGATATTAGTATAACGAATCTAACTAAAACTGCTTTTGTATTTGAACCACTTACCCACAGTAAAAGAGTGCAGCAACTATTCCAATTATCGGCTACAGAAACAAATTCATATCCGCAAATGGAGAAATGTACTTTAACGAATCCAACTCAATTTGTATCTATCAAAGGAGACGGTAATTGTTTCTTCAGAAGTATATCATATTCTTTAACCGGTAGTGAAGAATTTCATGGCAAAATAAGAATAGCTATTGTAGAATACATGAGATCAAACAATGAACATTATGTAAGCTTACTACCACGAAGATATGAAATGGAAATATTTGCAGCTGCTGATTTATTGCAAACGGACATATATACATTTTCTGATGAGAAATGGCTAAAGATACCTGTTTTGCACTCAACTATTAAATATACACCAGAAGCTATTTATCTAAACCACAAAGACGGTAATCATTATGAAGTTGTTAAAAATGTGTAATAATAATGTTGGGAATTATAATCTGATAGCTATTGACAAAAACAAACAATACAATCATGAAAACCTAACACAAAAGGTCAGAAAAAGAAAACGTAGAGGTCATAATTGGTCACGTAGAAAAAGTGAAGTTCAATATGAACACAAAAATATATAGAAAAATGCAGGAAATAATAAATATTATGGAGGCAGAAGAATGAAACAAATTAATTATCTAAAAAAAAGAAGAAAACAATTATATAGGCTAAATAAGACAGATAAGAAGCTTCAAGAGAAATATCAAATTAGACTTAAGTATGAACTGAAAAAAAAATACATATCTTATTTAAAATTTAGACTACGTCAGAAGTATAAGCGTGAATTACAGGCAAAACTTAAACATAAGTATCGGAAGGAATTACAACAAAAACTTAAACAAAAATATATAATAAAATTAGTGAAAAAGCTAAAATGCAAATATGCAAATGAATTGAAACTGAAGCTTAAACAGAGATATTTACATGAATTAAAAACGAAATTGAAAAAAAAGTACCAAGAAATATATAAAGGACAATTAAAACGCAAATATCGAACAGATAATACATTTAGGAAAAGAGCGAAACAAAGGGGTATTCATAAGTATAAAGTAGACATTACGTACAGAACTATGTTAAAGGAATCGAACAAAATCCGAAGAGAAGAAAAAAGGAGAACTACAAATAACATTACCAATGCTTTAGAAAAATTTAAGAAAGACAGTTCCGAAGGACCAATCTATGTATGTTGTATTTGCAACCGATTATTATTTAAGAATCAAGTTAAAGAATGTAACGAGGAATTATATGAACACAAATCCAAGAGAATTCAAATGATAGCTAAAAAGTGTATAACCAAGACTTACCTTCATGAGTGCAATAACCAATGCCAAGACAGATGCACTTATTCTGATAATTATAAATCGCTATGGATATGTTTTACATGCTATAGAAAAATTTTACAAGGTAAAATACCAGCAGATGGGGGAATTTCTCTTGAAGGCTCTTATAGTGGGCATGAACTATCTTGCTTGCTCGATTGCTGGTTGTATTAAACGGGACAACAAAGGGGGCTATGCCTACATTATGATGAATATTTAGTCCTATAGGTCTTGCTGTCTTCAATGTCTCAATCCAATGGACTTCCCTAGATTGACGGAATTCAAGTTAGCTATCTTTTGTGTGGGAATAAACTTAAGTCCACGGTCTAAGATTGAATGCTGAAGGGGTGTGAGAATTTTGCGGCTCAAGTTAACTACAGTTTGGCCTAGTGGTGGCCTCTCAGTATTTTTATCCCCAGTAATTAGTTTAAAGACTTACTCGATGCTTGAAGCTGGTGTATCCAAAACAAATAGATGCTGTTTGCTGTTTCTGGAGACCAATGAAGATTATCAACTGTTTCGAATTCTTCTTCGTAGGGTGGTAAGATTGTTGCGCTGTTGATACTGGACTCCATCATCATGTTGTTGAGAGTGCTGAGGTTCTGTTGTGCTTTCTTCGAGATTTTATTTGAAATGGGTATACATGTGAAGAGGATCTTGGAGTTTGGGAAGGTTTTGTTGGCTGTGGCGATTAATTTCTGGGCTTGGTTAAAGGAGGTCTTTGGTATCTGATCACGGTTGTTGAGGCCTACATGAAGAATAATGGTAGTAGGTTTGGGATCATGGTCGTATGATTCCAGGATTGACTGTGTGTGATGGATTTGGGCACCGGGGTAAGAATGTATTTCGGTGTCTGAACTGGTTTTGGTAATTCGATTCAGGTTAGATGATCCAATTATTAAGGTAGATTTCTTTAGAGCAGGTAGTTTCCATAATGATTTGTCCTTGATTTGGTGATAATACGGTTTGGTAGCGGATATAATGGTCGTCGACGGTGTGATTGGTACTGGTTTGGTAGTTGTTAGAATTGTAGCATTGGGAACGGACTGGGATCTGGTTCGAGGGGGGGAAGGTCTGGATCCACGTCTCGACTTGGATGGAGACCGAGGGGTGGTTTGCTGGTCCAAAAACGCACAGAAGGAAGAAAGGTTGGCGGATCCTGGATCACGTGGTGAAGATTCAGATGGCGTGGAAGGGGAAGACGAGTCTGAAAGTGAAAAGAGAAGGGGTGAGAAGAGAGCGTTTACCTATGTCTGCTGGACTAGGAGTAGGTGAACTTCGGGCTCGTTTAGGAGTTTGGTTCGGCAGCGTGGTGGCTCTAGATGGTGCAGGTGTAGTGTCCATTTCAGTTGGTAGAGATATGGTTACTCTGGTTTTTGTTTCGTTGATTGTTTGGTAGAATTTGGAGATTACAGCTTAAGTGAGACGTTTCCCATAGGAGCGACGGGCCCAGGACAGGGCATGAGAAACGATGCGGTCGACGGCAGGTGATGATAAAGACTTGGTACGAATGGTGGTCAGCTTCTCTTGAAGTGTGGTTTGGTAATGGTCGATCAGGACCTGCGTAACCTTACAGAGCCATGTCCGATTGAGGGATCTAATATTCGCGTCGACAGCTGATGTTTTCATTGCTGGACGGATAAAACTATCCAACTCAGAGGCTTTGCGTTTGAAGGTAAACGCTGGTTGGCCTTGCTGTTGAAGGGTAAGGATTGCCAAATGATGGAGGCACTGCAAAATTTGGAAGAACACCTTCAAAAGGGTTCTTCCTCCTTATGAGTGGGGACTGGTTGGCGTCGGTGGGCTGGTAGTCGTTTCTGTTGTTGGTCAGGTCGATGGTTACCTCTTGATTGGTAGGCTGTGTTGTAGGTAGGTCGGCGATGGGGTGGAATATAGCTGGATTGGTAGGTGGTAGAGGTCGATGGAAGACAGGGCCGTTGTAGGGTACGTGATATTGGTTTGGTTGACGATTAGTGTTTCTATGTCTGGCTTCTTGCCAGTGGTTGTTGTAGTTGGAGAGCATAATGAAAATAACTTGGAGTTTGAAGGGAATGTACAGCGGATGTAACAGGAGGAAACTGTATATGCTAGCGTGAAAATGTTGGGATCAAATTATGCAAATAAGTCAAACTGGGTTATAAAGTAAGATGAAAAATGCAAAAAAATATATATTTAGGTGATAAATAACGCTAACAATAATGTGAAAAATTATAACAAGTAAAACAAAAACTTACGCAATTGACACGAACCGGTTTTCGAAATATTATCCTTTTTCAAGTGTCGAGGAATATTGTACATATTTGCTTCAGTGTTCCTTGTTTGATTTGTTAAACAATTTCATGTTTAAGGGGCCGGTATGATACGGCAGAACGTGTAAGCCCATGTAGACCTATTTGTATAAAACGAACGCAACCCTAATTTAACGATGAAGACAAAACGAACTTGCAACTTTCTTTAATAATAACGCCGCCATTGTTTTTACAGATAAATCAATAGAACGCATACATAACGCCCCATATCCCCTCATAAGTTGTAAGTTTTAGTCCCAAATATGTATATTAATAACGCAAAACGCATAGAGTATGACTATAGTGAAGGTCAATTGCTAGCTTAACTAACGTATTAACGTAAATAACTAACGTGTTTGTCATTGTATCGTAGACCGTGGGCCTAGGCCTACTTGGTGTCTGTAATTTGCACGTCATGTCAGCTTATTTATTAACCAAAGGCATTGGTGTTATATTTACGTTTATGAGTAAACACTATCTTATAAATCCTTATTGTATTTTCAGCTAAACCGTGTAGTAGTGTATAATCGTGTAGGCTACTGTAGAAACGATTAACGTCAACATGTGGTCGTGTAGGCCTACGCTATAATCAACTCAACGTTTGTCATATATTGTCTTGTAAACGTATTAAAACTGTATTTACACGTGTGTGGAACTGATGGGAATAAACATTTCAATTATGAACGGTATTTCAATGGCGTAAACGTGGGGTAACGTTCCCCGAGTAGAGTGGGCGTTGCTTGCAGCAACAGTAAATAAAAACCGCCAGGTTCCTCTGAAACTTTTAAACCTCACCTCCAATCATCTTACAATTAGTAAAGGAACAAGACTTGTTTATTATACTGTAATAGATGATACATATTCAATTTTTCCTCATGAAACTAGTCTGGAGAGTACAGATCCCGAGACTTCGGATTCTTTTCAATTGAATTGATACTTTGTCACCTACAGATAATTTTTTTTTATCAAACATCGATTTTACGAGAACTGATGTGGAACCTGATGAACTTAAGACTTTACAGTTATTTTTGAGTGATAACAAGGATCTTTTCAGTACGCCTTCAACTCCAGAGTTAGGTCTGACAACGTTAGTAAAACATAAAATCCATTTAAAGGAGGATACAGCTCCAAAGTACCAGCGTCCTTACAAACTCCCACCTGACAAGAAAGAAGTCTTGCGTCATCAGTTAGACGAACTTCTCCGGCAAGGTGTTATTTCGCCTGTTGCTGCCATTGAAGATCTTCCAATTACCAGTCCTGTTGTTTTGGTGTCGAAACGAACAGTTAACAAGTCTCAACCAGCTTCGAAGGAGAATAGTTTATCTTCATTTGTGTCGATTTCCGGTATCTAAATTCTCACACAAAAGACTTTAATTATTCAATTCCAGATCTTCAAGAGCTCACTGAATCTTTTTCTACAGCACCCCCTATTACATAACGTCTATTGATTTAACTAGTGGATTTTTCCAGATGGGTCTAGATGAAGACTCCTCAAAGTATACTGCTTTCACTACATGTTTTGGAACATTTAAATTTAAGCGTCTTCCCATGGGTCTTAAAACTTCTCCGAACAGTTTCCAGTTACTTATGGATAAGGTTTTTAATGGTCTTACGTTTTCATCAGTGTTATGTTACCTCGATGATGTTTTAATCTATAGTGCTACATTTGAGAAACATTGAAGTGATTTGCAACAAGTGTTGGACAGGCTACGTCAAGCGGGACTAAAGTTAAATCCGAAGAAGTGTTTCTTCGCCCAATCCAAATGTTTATATTTAGGACATGAAATTCGCGAGATGGTATCAAAGCTCCTGATTCTCAGATCAAAGCGATCCAGAATTTTCCTTCTCCGCAATCTGTAAAAGACTTACGCAGGTTTTTAGGCATGGTAAATTGGTTTAGACGATTCCTACCTAATTATAGTGCCTTAGTACAACCATTGAATTTCCTTTTGAAGAAAGATGTTTCTTTTAGATGGGAAGCTATGCATCAAACTATTTTTGAAAAGTTGAAGGACATGCTAGTAAACGCGCCTATTTTAGCTTTTCCCAGATATGATATTCCTTTTACACTTAGTGTTGACACTTCTTCCAAAGGAATTGGTTACATGTTATGCATACCTTACTTGCAAATTCAAAACTCCATTCACTTAACATGGGGTTATTATTAGATAAATCGGCTAATTAGATTAACCTGGCTGTCAACCCCAACAGAAATCAAATTTTAAGTTGTTTTAAAGATACCCTCCCTTTTATATTTCTTAAAAATGATCTTGTTATGGTATAAAATTAAGCCCTCGGGTGGATTGAATCATGTCATATTTTAATTTAAGCTCACGGCAGCATATAGAAGGTATACCTCCACTTGATTTACCAACTTTCTCATTTCTTATCCGATTTTCATCAAACTTGGTATGTATGTGTATAATTAAATTCTAGATTTGGTGGAACTATCGAATTTGCGTAGTGCGCATGCGCATTGCCAACTTTCTTATTTACTATCCGATTTTCATCAAACTTGGTATGTATGTGTATAATCAAATTCTAAATTTAATGGAATTATCGAATTTGCGTCGTGCGCATGCGCATTGCCAACTTTCTTATTTACTATCCGATTTTCATCAAACTTGGTATGTATGTGTATAATCAAATTCTAAATTTGATGGAATTATCGAATTTGAGTAGTGAGCATGCGCATTACCAACTTTCTTATTTCTTATCCGATTTTCACCAAACTTGGTATGTATGTGTATAATTAAATTCTAGATTTGATGGAACTATCGAATTTGCGTAGTGCGCATTCGCATTGCCAACTTTCTTATTTACTATCCGATTTTCATCAAACTTGGTATGTATGTGTATAATCAAATTCCAAATTTCCAAGTGCGAAGAAATTCGTAGCGACAATGGCACTAACTTTTGTTAGACTAGAAATTAACAAATGGAACCAGAATCAAATCAACAACGAACTATTACAACGCAACATTAAGTGGACATTCAATCCTCCCGCGGCTAGTCACCATGGAGGTATTTGGGAACGTCAGATTAGGACAATAAGAAAGGTTCTCAACGCAATACTTTCTGTAAATAGTCACCCAACTTTAAGTGAAGAATCATTTCGCACATTAATGTGTGAGGTAGAGGCAATTGTTAATAGCCGCCCTTTAACTTTCACATCTGATGATCCTAACGACTTAGATCCCTTAACCCCAAACCAGTTGTTGACAATGCGTTCTAAATGGTTACTTCCCATTAGAATTTCAGAAAGAAGATGTTTTTGCACGTAAATCTTGGAAACAAGTTCAGTATTTAGCTGATAGTTTTTCGCAACGTTGGCGTAAGGAATATTTGTCAACTCTGCAAGAGCGTGTTAAGTGGTCTAAGCCTCAATGTAATCTAAGTATAAATGACATTGTGCTAGTTGTAGATGAAAACGTCCATAGAAATCAATGGTGTATGGGTCGTGTATTAGAAACTGTTTGTGACGCAAAAGGTTTCATTCGTAGCGCAACTGTTAAAACTCAAAATTCTGTCATTCGTAGACCAATTGCTAAATTAGTTCTATTGGTGTCTTAAATTGGTTATAGTTTGTCTCGTACCATTTTGATATTATAAGTTACATTTAAGTAATAGTTTTTGTACATATTTCCTTCAGTGTTCTGCCTTGTTTGATTTGTTAAACAATTTCATGTTTAAGGGGCCGGTATGATACGGCAGAACGTGTAAGCCCATGTAGGCCTATTTGTATAAAACGAACGCAACCCTAATTTAACGATGAAGACAAAACGAACTTGCAACTTTCTTTAATAATAACGCCGCCATTGTTTTTACAGATAAATCAATAGAACGCATACATAACGCCCCATATCCCCTCATAAGTTGTAAGTTTTAGTCCCAAATATGTATATTAATAACGCAAAACGCATAGAGTATGACTATAATGAAGGTCAATTGCTAACTTAACGTATTAACGTAAATAACTAACGTGTTTGTCATTGTATCGTAGACCGTGGACCTAGGCCTACTTGGTGTCTGTAATTTGCACGTCATGTCAGCTTATTTATTAACCAAAGGCATTGGTGTTATATTTACGTTTATGAGTAAACACTATCTTATAAATCCTTATTGTATTTTCAGCTAAACCGTGTAGTCGTGTAGTCGTGTATAATCGTGTAGGCTACTGTAGAAACGATTAACGTCGTGTAGGCCTACGCTATAATCAACTCAACGTTTGTCATATATTGTCTTGTAAACGTATTAAAACTGTATTTACACGTGTGTGGAACTGATGGGAATAAACATTTCAATTATGAACGGTGTTTCAATGGCGTAAACGTGGGGTAACGTTCCCCGAGTAGAGTGGGCGTTGCTTGCAGCAACAGTAAATAAAAACCGCCAGGTTCCTCTGAAACTTTTAAACCTCACCTCCAATCATCTTACAATTAGTAAAGGAACAAGACTTGCTTATTTTACTGTAATAGATGATACATATTCAATTTTTCCTCATGAAACTAGTCTGGAGAGTACAGATCCCGAGACTTCGGATTCTTTTCTTTTCAGAGAATCCGAGTTGACTTTGAAAAAGGCTATAGATGTGTGTAGGGCTCAAGAGATGAGTACAAAACAGTTAAAGCAACTAAAAGGGTCAGAAGAACAAGCAGTAGCTGCAATACGTAAGTTCAACAGTAGGCCCACCGTTAAAAAATTCAACAAATACAGTAAGAATGAACAACAAATCACGGACAATCAAAATTCTGACAGCACTATGAACAGCAAACCGTGTCGGAATTGTGCAAGAAAACACACGAAAGGAAACTGTCCTGCATTTGGAAAAGTGTGTCATAGTTGCCAGAAAAAGAACCATTTTGCCAGTTGTTGTTTATCTACTAAAGGACCATACACATCCAAGAAAATTCACACCGTAGAAGTACCACATGATTACGACTCAGAAGATGAACTTTTCATTGGAACTGGACACTGTAGATCAAGATCAAAGTGATTGGACAGAAACATTAACAATAAATGACCGAAATGTTACAGTCAAGCTCGATACAGGTGCACAAGCGAATATCATGCCGAAGCGTATCTACGATAGCCTTAAACTTGCAAATCAAAAGCTCACAAAAACAAGTGTGAAGTTAGTGACATATAGTGGAGATAAAATTGTGCCCAAAGGAATTCAGACTCTAAAATGTTCTGTGCGTGGTCGAACATACAAATTGCCGTTTTTCATAGTAGAAACTTGGCCATACTTGGAAAGAATGGTTGTACCGAAATTGGATCAATAATACGCGTACAAAGTGTCGAAACTTTGTTAACAAAAGAAGAGGTACTGAAATGGTACGAAGATGTCTTCAAAGGGTTAGGTGAGCTTCCGGATCAACACCACATTAACATTGATGAAACCGTGACGCCGGTAGTACATCCACCGCGAAAAGTACCCGCAGCGCTACGCGACAAGGTAAAAACCGAGCTCGAGAGTATGGAATCATTAGGAGTCATCTTCAAACAAGATGAACATACCGATTGGGTGCATAGTATGGTGACGGTCAGGAAACCGAACAAGATCCGTCTTTGTATTGATCCCAAAGATCTTAATCGAGCGATCAAGAGAGAACACTATCATTTGCAAACTGTGGAGGAGGTGATCGAAAAGTTACCGAAAGATAAAGTTTTCTCCAAGTTTGACGCGACTCATGGATTCTGGCATGTAATGCTTGACGAGCCTAGTTCAAAGTTATTGACATTCAACACTCCATTCGGTCGTTATAGGTATTTACGCTTGCCGTTTGGAATAAGTTCTGCGCCGGAGGTATTCTCGAAACGAGTACAGGAAATGTTTGCCGACATCTACGAGCGTAGAATGCATCATAGACGATATACTTATATGGGGCGAAACCACAGCCGAACACTATGCACGAGTCAACAAAATGTTGGAACGCTGTCGTGAAATGAATTTTAAGTTGAACAAGAATAAAAAGGAGTTTCGTGTACCGGAAGTGAAATATAATCACGAACAAAGTGCGATTGTAGACATGCCACCACCCAGTGACGTCTCTGGAGTTAAACGTGTGTTAGGTCTCGTACAGTACGTAGCAAAATTCATCCCGAATTTGTCTGACGTGACCGCTCCACTTCGTACACTTCTACAACAGGATGTAGAATGGCATTGGGACGCGCCTCAACAAGAAAGTTTCGAGAACCTGAAACGACTAGTTTCAAGTACACCGGTATTGAGCATTTACGATGTTAGTAAACCAGTTACTATATCAGGTGATGCGAGTTCAAAGGGCCTCGGAGTTGTGCTTCTCCAAGATGTACATCCGACAGCCTATGGTTCGAGGGCGTTAACAGAAACTCAGATACGTTATGCTCAAATAGAACGCGAGATGCTAGCTATAGTGTACGGATGTGAGAAGTTTCATCATTATATCTATGGGCGTTGCGTGACGGTGGAAATCGATCATAAACCGCTTGTTGCGATCTACAATAAGCCACTATATCGTGCTACTCCGAGACTTCAACGAATGCTCATGAAATTACAACGCCACGACTTAAATTTAGAATACGTACCGGGTACAGAGATGTACATTTCAGACGCGTAAAGTAGGTCATATTTGAAAGAGACACCCGAAATTCTTGTTGATGAGGAGATTGACGTTGATGCTATTGAGGCCCAGCTTCCTGTGTCCCCGGCGAAACTGCAACAGTTCAAAGACGCAACTGCAGCCGATGAGACATTACAAACGCTCAAAAATACAGTTTTGGTTGGTTGGCCCGTTGATAGATCAAGTGTACCGTTGGATATAATTCAGTAGTGGAACTATAGAGATGAAATAACCGCCATTGATGGACTTTTATACAAAGGCCAAAGACTTATGGTACCGAGCAACTTGCAAACCGAGATGCTCAACAAGCTACATGAAGCTCATATGAGAATAGTGAAAACGCAAACGCGAGCACGCGAAATACTATTTTGGCACAAAATGAGCCAGGACATTGAAAACTTTATTGGACAATGCAATGTGTGTAATAAGTTTCGGAACTCAAACTGCAAGGAACCATTAATACCACACGAGATACCGTCGCGTCCGTGGGCTAAAGTTGCAGCAGATATGTTTCAGTTCAAAGGTTCCGAGTACTTATTGTGTGTTGACTTTTACTCCAAATACCCAGAAATAGTCCGAATGCCTACCACAACCAGTCCCCAAACAATCACTGCGTTCAAATCTGTGTTTGCACGTCATGGCATTCCGATCGAACTATTTACGGACAACGGAGCTCAGTTCTCAAGTTACGTTTTCAAAACGTTCGCTTCCGATTGGGATTTCGTTCACAACACATCAAGTCCCAAATTTCCGCAATCGAATGGTCAAGCAGAGCGGTGTGTTCAGAGAGTGAAGAATCTACTTCGAAAAGCAGACGAATCAGGTGGAGATATGTACACTAGCCTAATGAACTATCGGGCATCGCCATCTCAGCTACTCATGAACAGACAGTTGCGCACAAAGTTACCTATTACATCCGATCTATTGAATTCCAAAGTTGTGGAGTCCCGTAAACCAGATCTTATTGCACGTCAGCAGAAACAAAAATTTTATTATGATTGCCAGTCAGTACCATTACCAAGTGTTAAACCAGGCGAAATCATTCGTGTACAGAAAGACACAAAACAATGGGAACCGGCCATTGTCGATCAAAAGCTATCTGAAAGATCATATATAGTGCGCACCGGAAATAACAAGTTATATAGAAGGAATCGTAGACTACGTTGCCGAGTACCGCTCCTGATGATGACGACATTATATTAGCTAATCCACCGCAACTGCCCTACAACGACAGCATCCCGACTTATTCACCGAAAGCACCAGAGGAAGCACTTAACTTTCCAGTCCGCGAAAACCGACCAAAACGAACATCGAGACGACCAAAACATCTTGAGGACTATGTTTGTACATAAACTGTTTTTTACATGTTATTTACATGACTGTAATGCATATATTTTGTTTGTTCTAGTCATGATCTGTTCAGGGGCGGGGAAGTATTTTATAAGGGGAGATGTAATATTATTCAGTTTGTTTACATTATTACACAAGCGATGTAACGTTATTTCAGTTCTTATTTGTTGTCTATGATATAAGCGATTTTGAATGACCTGCAGCGACCGTAATTAATAAAAAACAGTAGAACGCCATTGTTGTCGTTTATATCACAGATGTTTCCTCAGATATTCTACAAAATAATTAAAATTGGATTATTTCGATTTTCTTTATGAATCCCTCACCTTGACCCATATTTCATGAGCAACCAACTCGGCAACGGCGGCAGAATGCGTCACCTATTTTCGTGTACAATGTTTGATCTATAAATAAGTCTAGAAAAACACATTGTATGGATACCGGGTGGTATAATTAACTTCTCTTAGTATTTATCTTTAATATCAATTCATTATAACTAGTGACAATTCCTTCAAAGAACCACGATTTAAAAAAAAAAATAGTGACTGACAAAATATTACGGAGCCCCTAAGGCGCAATTGTAAACATATTTATTTATTAATAATTAATTCGTTTAAACGAAATAAACAGATGGGTTAATTATTTCGTTTAAACGAAATAGACGAAAAAATTAATTCGTTTAAACGAAATAACTAAATAAATATGTTTACAATTGCGCCTTAGGGGCTCCGTAAAATATGATACGTAGCGTGATTTATTGCTAAAAGTCACTGAAACAATATAAGAATATGGTCCACTTTGTGTTCCATTGAAATTTTCTGCTGACACGGAATCCGCTAGTTGATCACGTGACTTCATTCGTTGGAATATATTCTAGCAGACGACACTTGGAATTCCGATTACTGCTTGGGATTTATAAGGAAATTCGGCCGATAAAAAATGGTGACGTTTGGTAATAAGTGAAATCCGCCATCTTGTATTTGTCAAAGTATACATTAATACATTTTACCTTGCTTGAAACTACTGGATTCATTCTACTAACTGATATTGTAGAGAAAACCCATGTTTATCAAAACAAACTAATGCGGAGGTCGCGCAAGGTCGCTCATGTAAATTATTAATCCTTTCCGGAAATCCACGAATAATAGGTTTCCACGAAATTAGGTTACTCGACTGTATAAATATGACTTCTGAAGTGAAAGACTTCTATGATGGTTTCCAAACGACTCCTTGTCGCCCAAGACTTTTTGATGATTTTGACATGTTCGATAGTATTGGGATGCCCCAGCCTACCCCTCGGCGTGAATTGATTATTGAAGACGACACACCTGTGCCTACTGTAGCAGCCGCGTGTAATGTTACCCTTCGCATATCGAAGTTTGATGGTATTGATTGTTCAAAAGTTGACCAATTCCTTGCAGAATTTAATTTAAGTGCAACATTAGACGGCATCAAATCTGACTCTCAAAAGATTGCTGCTTTCCATCTGTGTTTGAAAGGCCCTGCTGCAAAATGGTTCTTATATTTAGAAGATTCCTCGAAAACCGACTGGCGGAATTTTATGAGGGCTTTTATGAGTAGATTTTCCAGTGACAGTGACAACATGAAGCTTGCTGAAAATGTCGCATTCAATAACATTACTCTTTTACCCAAAATGAGTTTAACCGAACTTCATTCTCTGATATTGGAAAAGGGATCCAAGCTGAAGAAGACGGAATTTGATTTTATTTCTAAATTTATTGACAGTTTACCTCCAACTTTGTCATTTTTTGTTAGAGCTAGAAATCCGAATACCTTACTTTCTGCTTTAAATGCAGCACAGATGGGTGAATTATATGGTTATAGTGTAAATTCTAAACATGTTAACTATCAGAATGTACCACCATTTAATCATAATTATGCTCCTTTATCCCAACAATTACCTATGCCAATTTATCAAGTCCCACCCCATTCAAGCTCCACTCTATGCTCAGACTGCCCCATTGCCACACACCCCTATCCCATTGTCCAATCCACCTATGCATTATGAAACTCCCTCTTATTCTCAAGCCAAAGTACCTATGAGTCGCTATCAGAAATCGTATCCTTCCACATATTATACTTGTCATCAGCCAGGTCATATTCAAAGGAATTGTCCCCAATTCCAGTTTTCGGGAAACTCAATGGTCCCAAAGACACAAGGGCACGGCCATTGGGACAATCGCTACATGAATGTGCCCAAATAGATAACAATGATATTAAAGAACCCTTTAAGTTTTTGTATTTGCCCATTTCCTTTCGGAATCTTAAATTTAACGCATTGTTAGATTCAGGTAGTACTTTAAATTTAATTAGCCAAGATTTGTTTGTCAACATTCCAGATTTTTGTAAATCAAATATTAAAAATGTTTCTCATTTTATTTCTGTAGCTAGTGGTCAAAAGATTCCTATTGTTAGTTCAGTTGTGTTGCAATTTATTAACAAATGTGAAACTTATAAATTTGAATTGTTTGTTCTCAAAACATTATCTCAACCAATTATTTTAGGCTTACCATTTTTATATCATGCTCGCGTTATACTTGACTTTCATGATGGATGTAAGGGCTCTGCTCTCAAAACTACTGTACGATGTGTGAAAACTATTGAGATTCCGCCTGATAGTGAACTTGTTGTATATGGTAAAATAACGGACCCTGGTATATATTATGGTGTTCAGGGAGTGTGTACTATTCATAGTAGCATTATAAAAAAGAATGTATTAGTGTGCAAAAGCCTGTGTGTTGCAAATGATACGGCAGAACGTGTAAGCCCATATAGGCCTATTTGTATAAAACGAACGCAACCCTAATTTAACGGTGAAGACAAAACGAACTTGCAACTTTCTTTAATAATAACGCCGCCATTGTTTTTACAGATAAATCAATAGAACGCATACATAACGCCCCATATCCCCTCATAAGTTGTAAGTTTTAGTCCCAAATATGTATATTAATAACGCAAAACGCATAGAGTATGACTATAATGAAGGTCAATTGCTAGCTTAACGTATTAACGTAAATAACTAACGTGTTTGTCATTGTATCGTAGACCGTGGGCCTAGGCCTACTTGGTGTCTGTAATTTGCACGTCATGTCAGCTTATTTATTAACCAAAGGCATTGGTGTTATATTTACGTTTATGAGTAAACACTATCTTATAAATCCTTGTTGTATTTTCAGCTAAACCGTGTAGTCGTGTAGTCATGTATAATCGTGTAGGCTACTGTAGATACGATTAACGTCAACATGTGGTCGTGTAGGCCTATGCTATAATCAACTCAACGTTTGTCATATATTGTCTTGTAAACATATTAAAACTGTATTTACACGTGTATGGAACTGATGGGAATAAACATTTCAATTATGAACGGTGTTTCAATGGCGTAAACGGGGGGTAACGTTCCCCGAGTAGAGTGGGCGTTGCTTGCAGCAACATTAGTTTAGAACTTTTTGGCGATTTAACATTTGGAAGATAGTCTAGAACTTTACGGTGATTTTGAAATTTTGTCTGTCGTTTTAAAACTTTATAAGGAATATTCAAAATGAATTCAAGATAATTTTGAGCTGTGTCGGTACTAAAACGTAAATGCTAGTTTAGACGTTTGTGGTAAAATTTAATGCTAGTTTAGAATTTGACTGTAGAATAGAACTTTGATGGTGATGTAGAATATTGTTATTGGTATTTTGGACAATAGGCCTTATATGATGTGTGCAACTAAAAATAGTGGGGAATGAAAGCTGTTTTGACTCTTTTGATATTGTTTTTCGTGATGGAAAATGAAGTGTTTTACACTTGTGATAATGACATGTATACATGGTTGGAAGAAGGTACTTGGCAGGCTGGACACAGTACCTTTGATTCTCATAATAGGCAAGTGACTCATACAAACAATGAGGCTGATCGTATGTCCAGTGTATCTAAATCTGCTAAATCTGACAAAACAACAGCTAGTTGGCTTCTGACCAAGGAAAGGGCTAAACTTGTAGAGCTAGAAACCAGAAGAAATATTTTGAAAGAAAAACTTGAGATTGAGACCAAATTAAACGAGTTTCAAATCCAGAAGGAAATCGATGTAAGCCGTGCTCGTCAACATGTGCTTCAGTCTGAAAGTGAAAGTCAGGCTTTACCGTCACCGCAGTAGGAGTTCTTTTCATCACCAATATTACCCCCACCCCAATCTACCAACGCATTTCGACCAACATTTGCTGCTGCATCCAACGTAAACGAAAATGAGCCAGAAATCCCCAAATATAGGCCTGAAGAGACATCTAGGCCTAATGTTAACGATCCTAAGACTGTCAACGAAGCATCACCAGTACAAGACATTGTTCAGAAATAAATCGAATTATCTGAATTAATTATCAATCAACAACGCAGAAATTTCCTTCCTCAGCCAGAGCTGGAGAAATTTGACGGAAATGTGAAGAAGTACACAACGTTTATTAAGGGTTTTGAGTTTAGAATCGAAGTTTATTGCTGTAATGATAATGACAAACTTTTTTATCTAGATCAGTTTACAACTGGTAGTCCAAATCAAATTGTGCAGAGCTGTATGCATATGGAACCGTCCAGAGGCCTAGAACGAGCAAAGCAGTTATTAAAAGAGAAATTTGGTGATAAGTACAAAATAACCACTGAATACATGAATGAAATTTTAGCATGGCAAAATATGAAACCTGATCATTATTCGCAACTTTCTCAGTATTCACAACGACTTTTGACATGTTTAAATGTCATGACAGATATTCATTTTCTGCGAGAACTTAATAATTATCAGAATCTTAGAATCCTTATAAAAAATTGCCGTATGGAATGCAAGACCGATGGAATAGAAAGGCATTCGATCTCTTCAAGGAACAAAGGGAGAGAACCATCATTTGAAGACTTTGTAAATTTTGTCAGCACTGAAGTAGACATATTCAGTAATCCGGTTTTTGGAAAGAACATTGATGAACAAAAACATGCAAAACAAACATTCACTACCGGTGTAGACAATTATAAGCGGCGGTTGTGTTACTTTTGTTCTGGTAAACATGAGTTAGATTGGTGCAAGGACTTTTCTAAATTGACTTATGATCGAAAACGTTCATTTGCTCGTGAACAAAGACTATGTTATGGGTGTTTACATAAGTTTCATGATAGCAGAAATTGTCATAATAAGAAAACATGTCGTAAGAGTGGTAAAAACCATCCTACAGTGTTTCATCTTGATGATTTGTCCCAGAATAAACCTTTTTTGCCAAATAGGGGTCCCTCAACCAATGGCTCGTATCAACAGAGAAGTGAATTACCCCAAAATAGATCACAAACTGTAATCAACGAATCACGTGGGCCTCAACAAAACCCCAATTCGGATTATCCTCGATCTAACGTACCATCCTCTATTGGTAATGGTTGTGTGACTGCTGATGAAGTAACAGAAGATGATATTATGATGGCTGTTGTACCAGCAACTGTTCGTAGTAAAGATAGTAACGTTAGAAAGATGACATATGTTTTCATGGATCACGGTTCCAGTGGTTGCATTATGACAAACAATTTAATGTCAAACTTAAAGGTTGATGGTGTAAAAATGAATATTAATCTTGGTACAATGCATGGTCAAAGTGAGGTTAATAGTACTATAATTAAGGGGTTAGATGTTACTGATGTAACTGGTACAAACACGATTAAACTTCCCCCTGTATTTGCTATGGATGATATTCCAGTTTCCACTTCAAGGATACCCAGACCTGAAATTATCCAACGTTGGGAATATCTTTGAGATATATTCATACCGAGATTCTTTCCGAATATTGAAATTGGCCTACTAATTGGTACTAATTGTCATAAGGCCTAAGAACCCCTCAAGGTGATCCCCAGTCAAAACAACTGTCCTTATGCAGTATTAACTAAGTTAGGCTGGACAGTGAATGGTCCAACAAATGTGAACATTTCAACGAACATTATAAATTGTAATCGTATTATTATTAAGAACATTCATCGAGACACCAGTCTAGAATCTCGATGTCACGAATTGGCAGTATGTAATGATATTTGTGCTATTGACACTTGTAAACAATTTGAGCGCATTTTAGAATCTGATTTTATCGACAATAACAATAATGGACAAGCTTATTCTCAGAAAGATAGGAAGTTCCTTGATATTGTAGAGAATGGTACAGTGTTCCGTAATGGTCATTATCAAGTCCCCCTCCCCTTTCGAAATTTTGACAATATTTATATACCCAATAATAGAGAACAGTCGCTCAAACGTTTAAATTCATTGAAACGTAAATTCGAACAATATCCTCGATATAAAGATGATGACGTGAATTTCATAAATGATTTATTAATCAACGAGTATGCTTTAAAGGTTCCTGATAATCAATTAAATACTGTAGATGGACATGTATGGTATATCCCACACCACGGTGTCTACCACCCACGTAAACCGAACAAACTCAGAGTTGTATATGATTGTAGTGCATCATAGAGAGGTTTATCCTTGAACTCTGAACTTTTGCAAGGTCCTATATTTACAAACTCTGTTATAGGTACTTTAATTAGATTGCGTGAGCGCCAAATAGCCTTTATGGCAGATGTAGAAAAAATGTTCTTCCAGGTTAAAGTTCCTGAAAGTGACTATGATTATTTACGTTTCCTTTGGTGGCCAAATGGTGATGTTAATTTACAACCGGAAGAGTACCAAATGACTGTACATATATTTGGAGCTATTTCGTCTCCGAGTATCGCTAATTACGCTTTAAAACGAACCAAAGAGTGTTTAACGAAAGCGGTCAAATTTATTGTGCATTTATTATTGGTAAATCGAGGTTAGCACCGTTAAAACAAAGGACAAATCCAAGATTGGAACTTTCGGCTGCGGCTTTGTCTGTACGTTTATCTAACATGCTGTTAAAGGAACTGGATATGTTGCCAGAATCAATTACGTTCTGGACTGATAGTACTACGGTTTTACAATACATCAAAAATGACTCTAAACGTTTCCACGTTTTTGTCGCGAATCGT